ATAGTCGACCCATCAAGCCAGCTCAAGATCAAGGAAGTCCAATTAATCACAAGAGTAGATGATTCTAGAAGATCTTCTAGAATCCTCCTATTAATGTATAGATCATTGATCTCCCTTTGTATGTACGTGCTAGGAGATCATAGGAGTTAATCGTAGCCTTTAGATCAAGATGACCACCACCAGCTATTGAGGAGGTGAAGTTTTATAAATAGGGGTATGCTCATTCATTTATATTCATCCCACAATTCATTAATTGAAGAGTCTAAAGCTTGAGAGCATTTCTTAGCTTTCTCCAACAATTATGCTCTTTTATAAAAACTTGCGCACACTCTTGTGCACTTTCGAATGAGGTTGACTTAGCATACTTGAAATGGGCGAAGATCATCGAGCAAGTCCGGGACATAGTGGTTCAAAAATATAAATTACAAATAGTTTAAGTAAGGAAAAATAAATTGCTAAAACAATTTTATATTGAAATGTATGTTTTGCCCTTTTGTTTATGAGATAAAATTGAAAAAGGATGCTCGGCTAAGTAGAGATTAGCGAGCTCCATAGTTTGACGAACACATGTACATGGCTATATTCAACTACTTTTTTTTTTGAATTATTTTGTTACTTAAATAAAATTATTTGAAGTGTTACTAAAAATAATGGACAAACAGGATTTGAAAATAAATGACAATAGAAAAGGCACAAATTGAAGTAAAAAAAATAATATAATTATTAAAATAACCAAATTAAACTTATTTTCAACCGACAATTTAACTATTCTATTGTAAATTGGGGTCATGGTTACAAATGGGCTAGTGGGCTGTGGCTACTGGCTACTCCATTTTATGCTAAATGTGGACACGTATAGCAATTTAAGTGGAGTTTGTCTCTCACCTATTAACGGAGCGTCCGTCACAAATTCACACCCTTAAGATATAGGTTTCTAGTGATAAAGCTTATTAGAATTAAATGACAAGTCCAACTAAACATTTGATTTACATCATTTACAAATTTCATTCCAAAAATGTCCTCCATATATAAAAAAATGAAATTTGCACCAAGTATTTAAACTGCTTTTATCGGTTTCTATTCTGAATTTAACCTTTTCATTTTTGCATCTAACATTTTTGTTATAAATTTTTTTACGTAGAAAGTGTTTCTCATTTTTTTTTCTTTTTCGTATTTTTTCTTTGTCTGATTTGAAAATTAATATTGCATATCTTTTTAATTTGCTTTATACATTTTCAACTATTATTTATTTATTTTTTATCGATAAATGCAGAATATGAATCACAATATAGTCATTCATAGTTATTTATAGTCATCCAAATCATATATCCAATTTCACAGCATACTACCCATTGTCACTATAGCAGGAACACGTAGACAACTATAGTAACCCATAGTTACGTGTAGTAATCCATAGACAAGTCTGAATATATATATATATATATATATATATATATATATATATATATATATATATATATATATATATATATATATATATATATATATATATATATATATATATATATATATATATATATATATATATATATATATATATATATATATATATATATATATATATATATATATATATATATATATGTATAT